CGGATCGAAAGGTCGTGGGTTCCCTCTCTAGCGGAGGCGGACTTTTTTCCCTTCAAAAATGACTTTGGCTCCCAGGTCGACCCAGCATTGAGTGGGTACCGGGTGCAGTCCCGGGAAGTAAAGGCGGCCGGCATGATGCTGACCACATCACCCATCTTGTGCCAATTGGTCCTTCAAATATAGGTCTAGCCCTATACGACTAAAGTCGTGGAAAATGGTCCTTAGCTTTACTTTATGCCCAATACGCATACAGGCTTGGGAAAGTGCCCTTTACTTTTACTATAAAGAATTGATTCTAAGAATCGTTTGGGGACAGGTTGTTCGGTTACTCTGTATATAGCACAAGTAGTTTGTTTTGCCCCTAAAAGTTTGAGATGAATGATACAGCCACGGAAACACTGCTTCCGTACAGCAGTTCAACGTTATATTGATCCTAGCGTTTTAAGAAAGAACTTGCTGATTAAGACCAGTACTCAATTAGGCAGTAAAATTCGCGTTTTTAAAGGTCACTTTTAACACCTGGCCCTAGGCCCATATCATTCTTTGGCTGGTGTGGTCATCATCAGACTGGTTGCCTTCACTTCCTAGGACTTAACCTGGTACCCATGTTAAATGTGAGAGGCGATATAAATGATGGATTGGGCGGGTGTGGGAAGGAACTTAACCCAGTGCGTATTTGAACCCAAGACCTTTGGGCCGGCATCCAAACATGTAGCCACTCTGTTACCACAGCTCCTTGTCCATTTTAGTAGTTACCCATGGTAGCATGGCAGGAACAAATTGTGAAGGCATGACTTTTAAGTTAACTTGAAAGCTGTACTCACCTAACAAACAGTAGCCCTTTGTAGAATCTGTGGTGAAGCTAAGCCAACGTAGACAGACACTTTCCCTGGACCTGGCACCAATAGTTCCCTCTGTCTATTCCCCAGATGTTCATCTTGTGGCAAACGCTTCACCCAGATCGGGACGCTAAGAACTCATGAACGGATACATACTGGGGAGAAACCTTATATATGCAAGGTGGGTGCCTGCACTAGTGCTTTTTTTTCCCGTCCGCAGCTGTTCTCTTCTGCAAGCCTTCCAAGTCACTCTTCGTCACTTGTTATCAATTTCTTATATTCGTGTTTGAGTTTACTGCGGGGTATTGTCAGTTTTATCTAGTTTGTCTTTTTTCTTTGAGGATGGCAATAGAGGATAATTATCGACATTCAAATGTAGTTCAAATCTATTTCTAGTTCTGCTTCTTGATTATATAAGTCCTAACAATATTCCGCAAATTGTGATACAGGACAGAAAAAGTGTTTTTGCAGCCTGTTTCTGTTTGGATGCAGCATGTCATTTAGGACGTTCTTTCTTGTGTTTTGCATATTTACTAACCGTCTGTAAAATGGGTCACGGGTGGGTTTTACCTTCTCCCCCCCCCCCCCCCCCCCCATTTCCAACATGTGACGATCAAATTTGTTTTTAATAGGGCCGAATACGAATAGCTAGGTCAACTATTCGCCCGAATACGAATACGAATAGTGAATCATCATCATCAGGTGCTTTGCCGACTGGCATGGGCGATTATGCCTTGCCACAATATGCGATCTCCTGCAGCATGTATTAGTTCGTGTGCTGACACACCTCCATGCCATTCAGCAAGACTGTCAAGAATCTTCTCTCGTTGTCTTCCTCTATCCCTCCTTCCATAGATCTTTCCAGTGGTCACCACTTGTTCAATTTTTCCTCATCTTATAACATGCATGGCCGAAAAATTATGACTGTCTCCTTCTGATGTCTGTGAGTAGTTGTCTTCAGGCTGCCGCCTCTTTTAAAACATCTTGGTTGCTTTTTTTTTTTTCTGGCTGTCCAAGGTATTTTAAGCATTTTTCTGTAAAAATCACATCTATGAGGCCTCAAGAAATTGTTTGGCCTGCCTACCGATTGTCCAGGACTCACAGCCATATGTTAAAACTGGATGTATGTAGCAAGCAAGAAAGCATCAGCTTAAAAAAAAAAAAGTACACACACACACAATCGTTCCTTGTTGTCAGCATTAAGGCAATTTCTTGTCTCACTGAAGGTCTTTCCAGCTGTGTTAAACAGACGTTCACTTGATACGCTCGTAGGTGGTGCACAAAGATAACGCTTGACAGTATGAACCAAGGTCTGAAATCTTGATATGTTCATTTTCCACCAGTCCAGATCGGGTGTAAGGTAACCACTATTCGTACTCGGCCCTACTGCAGCTATTCGGCCGAATACCGAATAGTTATAAGGTCCACTGTTCGGCCCCGAAGCGAATACGAAGCAAATATTCGGTACAGCCCTAGTTTTTAATAATGTCTTTTTACAGATCATCTCTAATAAAGGACAGCTTATTTTGGTTTTGTCTATTTCTTCCGCATGGGGAAAGGGGGAGGGTGTGTGGGAGTGAGTTACTGCCCCACAACAGCCATGTTGTGAAAGTCTAGCAATTAGGTGTGTTTCCTTCCAAGGCGAAGTGTATCTGCCTGAAAGGTGATGAACCAACAGTCTGCATACACATATGCCAGATCTGTTTAACGAATTTGCAAGTAACTGTTCTCGAACAAGACTTAAGTCCAGAAATGGACGAACAAGAAGAACTTTTCACCGGAGTTTACTGCCAGTGAAGGTTAAGAAGAAGAATCTATTTTTTTATTGAGTCAACAATTGTTTCCGTGTCCCTGAGGTCATTGTGCCTAGTTTGCCGGTGTCTCTGATGTCATTGCGCCTAGTTTTTTTTTCCCGGTCTCTGAGGTCATTGCGACTAGTTTTCCTGATGTCTCTTAGATTACTGAGACTAGTTTTTCCCGTGTCTCTGAAGTCATTGCGCCTATTTTTTTAACCGTGTCTCTGAGGTCATTGCTCCAGATAAGTATCTCTTTCCCACATCAGTGCGCCCAACATCCGCATAGATGTGCGCTTTGTAAAAAAGATTTGATTAAGCTCACTTGTGTGTGTGGGTGTGTGTGTGTGTATGTTTGTATGTTTCAGTGGATGTGACTTTGCGGTGGATTTTTATTTACTTTCAGCTGATACTCTGAAATCAAAGTATGTGCGTCAGGCGGGACAATAACTACTAATGAGACAGTTGTTTTACATACTCTGCTATTTCGAGTTGGCGTTGTAGCATGGACGTTGTAAAATGGAAGTTGTTCCCCATCATGTGGGTGTAAAACCCCAATTTTTATCTGGAAATAAAAAGATCCACTGCCCACTATAAAGCACTTCAAACGGGCATAACTTAATCTTCTGCTTGATTAACTTGCTTAAATATGGTTCTGTCGCTTGGATGTTAATAGGCGTGTTTGTTTGTTTGTTTTAGTATCCAGAAGCCATGAGTTGTTAACCCTTAGGCTCTGTATTATGGATATCGTAACCTTTCGGCCTTGATTCCATTGTAAATACCGTAAATCTTGGAGAAAATGTGGCTTTCCTGCCTACCCCCGGGATTGAACCAGGACCACAAGGAGTTCATCACCCGGTCTCCGCGCAATCCGGTTTAGCCAACTACGCTAGAGAGCCGGGCAATAGCCGTGTTTAACAATATCGCGATCCTAGAGATGCCACGATTGGATTGTCAAAATTGAGATATCTATTACTGCCATAATAAAGACATGAAAATTAGACTAAGCACAGTCCAGGGGGGGGGGGGGGGGGGGGGGGGGGGGGGGGTGGGGGGGGGGGGGGGAACTCTTATCCAAAGTTTCGGCTTTCTCATAGCGGCAGGATCAATGTTCAGCATACATTCATTTAATTTCCTTTACCCGCTACTTCGTTTCGAGAAAGCACTCCCTTAAACATTTTTAATCCATTGTTCACTTTATAGGTTGTTGAATTAATGTGTTCTTTTGTCCGCTGATAAAGACTCTAAACGGAATATACCTCGAAATTTATATTCTACTGTCCCTCAATAGGGATTTCTAGTTTATATTTGCATGTTGTTTTGTTGTTGTATATTTGTGTTGTTTCTTTTATGTGTATCTAGCTGGCTATTTATCTGTTCATATTGTTAGTTGTTTATCTGTTTCTCTTTCTGTCTATTGTTACAGTCTCTTTCTCATTCAGTCTTTTGTTACAGTCTGTTTCTCTCCGAATAAATACATCTGTGGGAAGGTGGTAGTAGTTTGTGTGTCTTTATATGTCCAGTAAATGTGCTATGGTCGTTTCTTGGGAGCTCATGCCTGTATGTGTCTGTACGATTAAGGAATTTGCACTGCAAGCAATCCATAGTTTTAGTTTTAAAAGCACAAAAGCGAATTGTCTCATAAAATACACGTTGTACTGAACGATTGTAGCCTCATGATTTGCGCACATTTAATTTCTTATGTCATTTAAATGTTTGTTTTAACTACCACCTGAGATTTGTTCTGCAGTCCATGATATGGGCTGCTTATATTTGTGTTACAAATTGATGTTTATGATAAGGGCATCTGAAGTTCTTCCTTCGAGTGTCAGCCTGGTGATATGCGCATCTGAAGTTCTTCCTTCGAGTGTCAGCCTGGTGATATGCGCATCTGAAGTTCTTCCTTCGAGTGTCAGCCTGGTGATATGCGCATCCGACAATTGTCCTTGACTGAATCAGCTGTCGAGACTGTTACATACTAGTTAACTTCACACGGCATGGACTTAGGCAGTGCTCACCAAACCGTCTGTCACGACGCATTAGTGTGTAAGCTGCAATATAAAGGTGTATGTCGCCAACACAATTTATGTATGTGCTCTTATCTCTTAATATGGTTTTACAGACCTGGCTTATTTGTGTGCACGATGCTGGTTCCTCGCCTGTCACTTAGACGCACTCCGACTTCAAAGTAAACACCCCTAGCTATTAGACCTTTACGACATGCTTGTTAGGGAGCTGTGTGTCTTTTCTTTTTTTTTTTTTTTTTTTTTTTTGTCTTGCAGTGTGGATCCCGGAACCCACACGGGCTGAATGTTCGGTTCTACCACATGCCCGTTTTCCTAAAGCGAATTGTTTCTGCATTCCCCAGGTGTGTGGTCGCACGTTCGCCCAGAGCGGCAGCTACCGGATGCACGAACGACGTCACATGACAGACAGTGTGCAGCGCTGTCACATCTGCTATGGCACATTCAGCTCTTGGCAGGACCTGCAGCGTCACATGGCCTCGCACCCTCAGGTGAGTACCGCTGCCAGATACCTGCCAGCGGCGCCCACACAAGGAAAACATGGATTTTTGTGGTGGTGGGCTCTGAGGATCCCTTTACTAAACCTATAGGTAGGGTGGGTGGTTAAAGAGCCCCAGTGCAGTTTAAGAGAATAATAATAATAAAAATAATAAATAATGATGATAATAATAATAATAATAATAATAATAATAATAATAATAATAATAATAATAATAATAATAATAATGCTCTAAATAGTAAATCAATATACTATTTGTGTTTATCGCTTGTGTAATGTCCTACTACTACTGGGTGCAGGATGGGTAGGGATGGGTATGCTTATAGCTGCCCATTGCCGTCTTTAACGTTTACTGTCAGGGGCTTTAATAGTCCTTAGCTGCCCTCCCCCACCTTTCCACACTAGGCAATGGAAGGGGTAAACTGTCACATACTTTACAATACATTACAGTTCTGGATTAACCAGAGTAAACAAATGTTCAAAGTAAAGCGTCTTTTTCACGCTTACATTTGCGTAGACAGTCGGCACTCTATGGGAGGTGTAGTTTAAAAATCATGCATGTCGCCTTTACTTCCTGTGACATATTGTCTGGTGCCATCATAGGCTGTGTCGACCAGCCAACCAAAATAATTTTAACACCATCCGCCCTGACTTAGGACCTTCGATCTGGCAGGCAAGAGTTCAGCCGCTATGTTACCACTGCTTCCAGCAAAATACTAGTATTAGAATGAAGGGCTGCAGGAGTGACCCGAAGAGAAGAGATCACGAATAAGTTCGCAATAAAAAAAGTCGGCGCTGAAAAATTATGAATTACATGCAAAGACAGCATATCGAGTGTCGAAGAAGAAGCAGAGGAAGACAATTACAAACATGTGATGTTCGTTTTGAATTCATAATTTGCTAGTTACCTACACTTCTTACTATTTTAGTATTATAATAAAAATAAATATTCGAACTGTATAACATTGTGCCGATCATAAAATCAGATATTGTTAATTTTACTGTTGTATGCGTGATACAACATTTCCTATTTAAACTACATTGGCGCTAATGATATATTGAAAAATTATTTACTGTGTTTGACTTGAGTCACGTATTGACATCACAGCACTCGGGGCATTCCCTTGCCTGCTTCGTCCTCGTCTTCAAAAGAAAGCGCAGAGTTCCAATACTGATGGTACTGGTCACAATCTGGTTATATGTCCGTCTTGCCTTTCCTCTGAGTGTAGTGAGCCGGCCAGACACTTTGGTTACACCCAGATGCCTCATTCTCTCCAGGCCATAATAATCTTCTGTCTCTACCTTATTTATTATGTAACCATATATAGATGCCAGTGCTATTCTAAATGATATACCGCACCAGAAATATCATTTAGAATAGCACTGGCATCTAGTGCCTTCAATAAACTGTCCAACATCTGGAAATCAAAGACACTTAGCAAACACACAAAACTCAAGATCTTCAATTCTTGTGTGATTCCAGTACTAACCTATGGATGCGAGAGCTGGAAATCAACGAAAACTCTAGACACAAAATTAGACAGTTTTGAAAATAAATGCCTTAGAAGAATACTAAATTTCAAATGGTCAGATTTCCGAACCAATACACAAATAAGGCAAGAATCCAGGCAAGAGTATGTGTCTAATTTTATACGAAAACGCCGCTGGAACTATGTCGGCCACGCCCTTAGAATGGATAAATCAAGATTTCCTTACCAAGCCCTCATTTGGACACCACAGGGGAAAAGATCTCGTGGAAGACCAAGGGAAACCCTACGTAGAACTATCATCAGGGAAGGCTCGCTCATGGGCCACTCAAACATCCAAGACCTACAACGGATTGCAACGGACCGCCGTGCATGGAGAGTCGCGACCTCTGCCCTATGTGCCGCACTCGACACAAGAGGAAAGAATAACTAACTAATATTTGGCTGCTTGTATTCATCAATAATTATCTAGTTTTAGTGCAGTTGTATTTTTTCTCCCTATTATTACAAAAAAGTGCAACCACCATTGTAACCTATGGCTATTTCCCAGTCGAACGTGAACACATTGCTATTATTGCTACAATAGTTTTTAGATTGAACTATGAATCCTTGCTGTACGTACACTATTTTCAAGATTTGGCCATACTACTTTTGTGCATTTATTACAATAGTTTCAAGATTTGACTACAATGTGATGTTGATTTGACTGCAGTAATGTCTAGACTTGATCATCATAAGTGGTTGATACCAAAACAACAGTTTTTCCATATTTTACCATAATTACTCTACCATTTGCTTTACTACGTTGCGTATTTGGTTGTTATATTTTAACAACTAAATTTGTTTGTTACAATAATATTATCTGTATACTTCCTCAGTAGTCATGTGTTCAGATTCTGTCGTTTTTATTTTTTTATTTTTATTTTAAAAATAAAAAGCTCGGCTGCCAAGTGCAGTCATATTTAAATTGGAAACCAGGAACTAAACTTGCCAGAGGACGCAATACAGCCCGACCATAAATATGGCCTAATGGCTGAACGCGGTTTCTGGGACCTCTCCACGGGTGATCCTCATCCACATGGTGGCACTTTGTGACATCGGGTGTTTATCGCTTGGGTGATGTTCTGGTGGGGTAAAAATCTACTAGTACTATTTGTTGCTAACTTCACCCCAAGCTGTGTGCTGTGATCATCCTAATTGTTTGCTTTGACTCGGTTACCGTGTTTTTTTTTTTTTAATATATATGCCGCAAATAAGGCAACAACAACAAAACAACGTTTACATGATAATTGTTTGCCTAACAAGCAACTAGAAGGTTGAAATGAGTCTCTGGAGGTGTGGTTATACACAAGAATAGGTCAAATCTCATGGAAACAAAAACCGTTCAACACAAAGGTTCAGGAAAGGCAACACTGCAAAAAAAAAAAAAAAAAATTACTAAAAAAATAAAAAACAGTTGAAATGTTTGGCCACATTAACAAACTTATACAAACCAAATTGAAGAGAAAGGTCGAAAACAAGAGAGCAGTGGTACAAGTGGTAGGACAACATCAAGATATGGACGGGTAGCACTCTGAAAGAGTGTACAACCAGGTCAAGGGACAGAGCGTGTTGGAGTTTCATTGAAATTAACCTTAAGTATGGCGACGGCACATGATTGAAACATTATTAGCCTACAAGGAAATGATTATTAACCTATAAAGACATGATTATCAACCTACAAAGACATGATCATTAACCTACAAGGACATGATTATTAACCTACAAAGACATGATTATTAAACTAGAGGGACATGATTATTAACCTTCAAGAACATGATTATTAACCTACAAAGACATGATTATTAACCTACAAGGACATGATTATTAACCTACAAGGACATGATTATTAACCTACAAGAACATGATTATTAACCTACAAGGACATGATTATTAATCTACAAGGACATGATTATTAACCTTCAAGGACATGATTATTACACTACAAAGTCAGGATTATTAACCTATGGGACATGATTATCAACCTACAGGGACATGATTTTTACCCTTCAAGAACATGATTATTAACCTGCAAAGACATGATTATTAGCCTACAAGGACATGATTATTAACCTACAAGGACATGATTATTAGCCTTCAAGGACATGATTATTACCCTACAAAGACATGATTATTATCCTTCAAAGACATGATTATTAACCTACAAGGACTTGATTATAACCTACAAGGACATGATTATTAGCCTACCAGGACTTGATTATTAACCAAGGACATGATTATTAAACATCAAGGAGATTATTACTAACCTACAAAGACATGATTATTAGCCTACAAGGACATGATTATTAGCCTACAAGCACATAATTATTAAACTACAAGGACATGATTATTAGCCTACAAGGACATGATTATTAGCCTACAAGGACATGATTATTAGCCTACAAAGACATGATTATTAACCTAAAAGGACATGATTATTAGCCTACAAAGACATGATTATTAACCTACAAGGACATGATTATTGACAAATAAGGACCTGATTATTGACCTACAAGGACATGATTATTAACCTTCAAGGACATGATTATTGACCTTCAAGGACATGATTATTGATCTACAAGGACATGGTTATTAACAGGCTGCCTGCACAGTTTCAACAGTTTTCACCCAACGGTTAGTGAGTTACAGATTGGTAATGCTGGTCACGACTTTTGAACAAGACTTAAACAAAAACGTTGCAAGATTCGACTAAGTAGGGGTTTCTTTCGACGCTGGAGTGCATCTGCCCGGAAGGCAAGGAACCATAGGAACCAACGATTTGCATACAAATAAGCGAGATCTGTAAAACGGTTGTGAACGCCCGACTCAATTTCTGGGACAAAACTAAACTGCACAAGTGGACGAGGTTTACAGTGTTAGTCTTACCCTAAAGTCATCGAGAAACCTGACCTTCTTAAACAATGCACTCAATGTTGTGAGTTTGGTCCTTTGTCTAAAGGTGACACAGGCTATCATCGAGTTTGAAGAAGGAAACCAGGGCCTCATTGACCGTTTAAACTCGGGAGATCTTGGAGGTCAGCTTGGAGATGGCGGGATTGGTCAGCTAGGCCACTCGGACAGTGATGGTCCAGTTCATGGACCCAATATGATGCAGGGTAAATATAGAAAATAGTAATAAAGTTCATTTATTTCCTGGAGTATGTAATGCCTTAGTTATGTGAAAGAAAATGTGAAGGGGCATGAACAGAGAGAGAGAGAGAGAGAGAGAGAGAGAGAGAGAGAGACAGACAGACAGACAGACAGACAGACAGACAGACAGACAGACAGACAGACAGACAGACAGAAAAAAAGAGAGTTATGATAGAGATACAATGAGAGAAACTAAAGAGACAGACAGAAACGGAATGAGAGAGAACTTTATTTCCAAAGGATTACAAATTCTTCTTGACAGAAATCTCTCTCTCTCTCTCACACACACACACACACACACACACACAAACAGAGAGAGAGAGAGAGAGAGAGAGAGAGAGAGAGAGAGAGAGAAAACGAAAGAAAGGGACAGGCGAAGACAGATACTGATGCAGTAAAAGAGAGAGGGAAAAAAAAAGAAACTGACAGAGACTGAATAAAACAGACAGGGAGGAATAGACAGCGACCGAGGGAAAGTTGGATACATAAACGACGAGAGCCATATAAGGGAAGTTAAATAGATAGATAGATAGACAGACAGACAGACAGACAGACAGACAGACAGACAGACAGACAGACAGACAGACAGACAGACAGACAGACAGACAGACAGACAGACAGACAGACAGACAGACAGACAGACAGACAGATAGACAGATAGACAGATAGATAGATAGACAGATAGATAGATAGATAGATAGATAGATAGATAGATAGATAGATAGAGCGAGGGGAGAGAGAAATAATCCATGTTTGAGAGAGTGAGAGAAAGCAAGACAGGGAGAAAGAAAGAGAAACAATACATACACATATCAGTTATCGCCTTTTCTCAGGAGATTGCGGCAACCAGCGAGACCTGGGAGTTCACCACGGCCGCTGCCCAAACCCCTTGTTGTCCGAGTCGCTGCTGCTGGACTCTGACGCTGCAGCATTTCACGTGCAGTCACCAGGTTTGTACATTTATATGGTCTGTAGAACATACACGCATACATAAACACACATACATACACGCACGGACGCACGCACACACGCACGCACCTGCGCACCTGCACACCTGAAGTAAAAAAATTAAAGTCGGGAGATGTGAACCAGCCTCATTGCACACGGTTATAAACCATAAGTCCTCTGCTGCGTGTATAGACAGCTGATAAGAAACTATCCGCTTGAGTTGCCGTCCGCACGCAACTCCGTAGTTACAGCGACGTTCGTCGATTTACCCCAGAGTGTTAGCTCTGGTACCCATTACGTAGAGGCTTGGTCAACCCTAGGAACAGCGCGGTTTTGAACACCGGCCGCAGGCTGCAGCGAGTCGCAGCTGGATTTTAAAGCGAGTCTTGTATCGACTGCGCTAACACGGCATCTGCTTACTTAAATATATATACACACACACATACATTCATACATACGTACACACACACAGACACACACACACAAGGAAATGAATTTGAAAGTACATGAGGCGAGAGAGCTGGCGAGAGACCGAGTTTCTTTCTGACAGACCGTGACGAGAGCGACGTTGTGCAAATGACCTGGTACATGAGGATGACAATTAAGTGACTTACCCCGATAACTGAACTCTTTGTCTACTTCAGGGTTATACCACCCAGCTGGGCAGCTGCCACCGTTCTCATCGATACTTCCCTTCCGCCACCACCCAGGAGGTCCACCAACATTCTCTCCATCGTTCGCTCCAGGCCTGAGTTTGTTAGGGCACCAGATTCCCGTCACCTCACACGCCGAGCTCTTGTCCAAGCATCCATTTTTCGGAGCTATGATATCATCACAGGTAAGATTCGTTGTCTTAGTGTATTCAATCAGGTGCAAGTCCACAGGTAAGATTCGTTGTCTTAGTGTATTCAATCAGGTGCCATCTCCACAGGTGAGATTCGTTGTCTTAGTGTATTCAATCAGGTGCCATCTCCACATGTAAGATTGACCGCAACGGATCTCCAACCAGCTCTATCTCTTGCTATACACTCTTATAGACTGCAATTTGTGCATCTTTTGATGATGTCCTGCCACTTGTACAGCTGTCTACCTCTTGCTCTCTTGCGTCCATCCAATATGGCTTTTAAGTAAAGTTTTATGCCTTGTGTTGTTAATGGTAATGGTAATTTTACGGGTCATGGAGTGAATTACAACAGACAGTGAAGCTTATACTAAAGACAACATTGCATATATAGATAATCTATTTGAAGCGAACGAAAGAAGAAGAAGATGTGCTTGTGGTGGATATTTGTATTTCAATTATAAAATTAATTAGTTGAGTTTATTTAATTCTGCTACTGTAGTGTGTGTGTGTGTGGTGCATCTAGCGAAATTAAACGAAAATATATGAGACATAAATTGTCACATCTTTTATCGATGTGTTTAAATTTACAATAAGGATTCATTATCCTGTTATGTCATTATATAACGCATAAATTCGCAGTCTATTTCTTCAATCTGTTTTATCCCGTCCAAACATTTCAGTATCATAAATGAAATGCAACTATCCCTTCTGGCTTATCTCATCAACGTTCACTCTGAAAGCATGCTGAGAAAGATGAAGACAGGGATGCTTCGAGCAGAGTGGCAAGCTTCACCGGGAAGGTCACGGGTAGTGAGCATATGTTGGTTCTTTTCTCCAGGCCATGCCGGCGTAGTGGGTCATGCACAGTCAGACAAATTTGCTTGATCTGCACCACTGGGTGGTGAATTGATACATTACAAGACAGATGTCGTCAAGGCCCTTTGGGAAAAGGCAGATGTGGTCAAAGCTCTTTGGGAACAAGCAAAAGAATTCGAAGAGAAACAAGATTATTATGGCCTGGAGAGAATGAGGTACATGTGTGTAACCAGAGGGTCTGGCCAGCTCACTACACTCAGAAGAAAGGCAAGACGAACATATAACTAGATTGTGACCGGTGCCATCAGTATTGGCACTCTGTGCTGGCTCCTGAAGATGAGGACTGAGCATGCGTGGGACTGCCCCGAGTGTTGTGATGTCAATTCTTGACTGTACTCAACTCAACTCAACTCATTATCGTTCGCATTAGGGTTTCTCAGGGATATGCTTGTTTCCTCAGTCACTCGTTTTCCTACGTAAATGGCTGTTTGACGATTCTCTGTTCTTCTGTCCATTATAGCGCAATAGCGATACATTAATTTAATTAACGCCTCCACGCCATGTTTTAAATTTTCCCATTTCTACCTCTTGCAGATAAAACACGATGCCCTCGCAAAATTATCCCCAACATACTCGTCACAACAGCCACAACTTCAGCCACATCACCTTATTCACCCACAGCATCAGTCACAACTCATTGAACAGCAGCAGCAGCAGCAGCTTCTTGAACATGGTACTAGCGACGGTGGGGATATGGTGAGCACTTCATTAGCGTCAAAGCGAGCTGAGTTGGAGCAGCGTATCTCAAACAGGTCATACACACCTGATGAGAGGTCAGACACTGCTGCCATGGCCAATGGAAAGGGAGATAAAGATGCCTCAGCGTTTACTAGAAGTGTGTCTAGTGATGAGGGATCACACAGTCCAGAGGACAACCACATGGAGATCAACGGCGATGAAGAGATGATGCAGCACGACCATGAGATGGCAGAGCACGACAATGACGATGAAACAGACATCGATGATAGAAACTATCCAGGCGAGCGAGATTACTCGGACATGCGAAGATTCAGTCAAAATGGAGAGAGAAGTATGGCGGAGAAGGAAAGAGATAGAGATCGAGACTTCGGGCCCAGGAATCCCAGGTGCTATGAAGACGACTTAGACAAGGAAAAACGCGGTCACAAAAAAGAGCGGAATCCTTCTGGCGGAAGCGGAAGCAGTGATAAAAACAGTAACGGAAATCTTGATCGGGATGCTGACTTCGATGGTCAGGATCGCGATGGAAACTATGACAATCAGCGCATGTACGACTCGCCCCATAACGGTCGCAGCGGTGTCAGTAGAACCAGCATTAACCGTCACGACCAAAGCTCACCTGGACAAAGTTCGTCTAAAGAGAAACGCCTAACAAAATCCCTGTCTTCGATTTTCGCAAATGTCAGAACTAGCAGCAGCGGCGACAACAGCAGCAACATCAACAACACAGATCTTTCGGACTTACGACCCCCAAAACGTCACATCGAGCGCCAGAACTTGAATACTAGAATGATTCCATCCTCGTCGTCAAGGAAACAGCGTCACCCAATGAGACGATTTAGTAGTGCCGGAAGCGAGCAAGAATCGCCACAGTCCGGTTCTAGCCTTCCCGTCAGCTCAACAACTGCGGAAGCCATTGAGAGGGGAGAAATTGACGACAATGATCTTGTGACCTTTCTGTTGACCAAAGGTCGCGTACACAAATGCGTACACTGCCATATGATATTTGAAGATGCATCTCTCTTCCTTCTTCACAACGGATTTCACTCACACGACGACCCGTTTAGGTGTGTCGTCTGCAGCACGGTGTGTAAAGATCGCGTGGACTTCAACTGTCATCTGACTAGCCATATAAAATGACTAAATGGGCGGATACAGAAGTAGTCTGTACTATCTGTGTATATTTAACTGTGTTGTTAACAATATGATTACAAGAAGCACGCCAGTATTGTGTTGTACAGTAATCTGAAGCACAAATTGCACAAATAAACAATCGCCAACTCGGTTAGACTCAGAGAAGAAGTGCAAACGGCAAAGAAAAGATTGAGCATCTGCCATAAATCTACATGTGTCTAAATTTAATTTTGTACACACCATAAACAAACATCTTTCTTGAACTGAGGTTCGCTGACGGATCCTCAATCAATGAAAATTCGGTATAGGATTTCAGGATAGCAAAGAGCGTTATAATTTATCGAGAAATATTCGTTCTCGTAAGCAAAAATTAATGCAAGATGGTTATTCAAGGAAAACAGTTTACTTACATGAAGACAACCGTCTAGATTCCATCCAGCTAAAACTGTGGCTGTGCACATTCACCAAAAAGCTCAACCAGGCAGAGGATTCTATCTCAACCATGTGTAGTTTGGACAAAGACATTATGTAACTTACGAAACGGGAGTGCAGTCTGTGTGCATCTGTATGTTTACGATATTCACCCTTGGCAGCACAGAAATACACCCTGGCGTACATGATCTGATGGACTGAGTTCATGAATGAACAATAGGGCAACACTAGTTATTTCCAAGCAGCTTCCATGTGTTTCTTGTTCCACGTACTGTAGCTGCTGCTGCTGAATTGACTCCTCGACATTTTGTCTGTGATAGTAACAGGCTCGTTCATTCGACTCGCTCTGTAAAATAGAGCTAGAATACATTGACAGTTTTATTTCTTTAAATCTATCATCTACTTCTGTCACATTCATTGCTGCATTATTTTTTGTTTTGTTCAACTCTCTGTTGCACTAATTCATGTAACCCACAAATCTTCCCTTAAAAAAAAAACCTGACCAATTCTTCTGTTGCGCTATTTCATGTAATCCGCAAATCTTCTTTTTAAATAAGCCTGACCCATTTTTATGTTGCTTTAATTCATGCAACCCACAAATCTCCACTTTAAATAAACTGAAACCATTCTTCTGTTGAAATCATTCAGGTAACCCACAAATCTTCCCTTTAAATAAGCCTGACCATTCCTCTTCTTCTTCTTCTTCTTCTTCTTCTTCTTCTTCTTCTTCTTCTTCTTCTTCTTCTTCTTCTTCTTCTTCTTCTTCTTCTTCTTCTTCTTCTTCTTCACCTTCTCTTTTACCGCTGTGGGTATCGAGGGAGATATAAGGTTCTGTTTGTAGCTCTTCTGGCTGCCTCGACCATAGGCACATCGTGCTGTTGTAGAGTTTCTCTGATGTTATCCTTCCATGTTGTTCTTGGTCTACCTCTTGCTCTACGACCTTTTTCTCTTTCCATGTATGCTTTATATGGTATGGTGTCACAATTCATTCTCTCTAAGTGGGCAAACCATTTCACTTGCTGTTTTCGTATGTAATCCAGAATTGGTTCTGTGCCGACTTTTTTTCTTATGATCTCATTCCTGATCTTATCTCTTAAGGTCACTCCTACAGCCCTTCTCAGACATCTTATTTCCGTGGTTACTAATTTTCTTTTATGGTTTGTTGGGAGTGACCATGTCTGGCACTTTTAGCACAGAGTTGGAATAAATATGCTTTGAAAAAGATGTCTCTTTGTGCTGACTGGGATTGTCTTATGCTGTAAGAGGGGGGCTAGCTGTCCCAATACTTGCTTTGCTTTACTGCATCTAATGTTAATTTCTTTATCCAATTTCCCATCTTCGGTAAATGTAGTTCCCAGATATTTATACTCAAATGCCTGTTTAATGCCTTTGCACTCTATTGCTATGTTTAGATCTGTCTTCTTTTTTCCTATTGACATTACTTCTGTCTTTTCTGTGTTGATTCTCATATTATTTGTTTTACATTCTTCATTCATTGATGTTAGATTTTGTAATTTGACCATTCTTCTGTTGCACTAATTCATGTAACCCACAAATAATCCCTTTAAATAAGCCTCTCCCATTCTTCTGTTCAATATTTTATATTACCAAACCTGTTACTGAATTGCTCTCTGTTGCGCAATTATTTTTTACCGAAACTGTTACTGAATTGCTTTCTGTTGCAATATGTCATTATATCCATAAAGACTGTTACTTTGGTTATTTCAGTTTGATTCTTCTGTTGCACAAATTCATACTACCCAAATTGCTACTTTCTGTTGCACTATTTCATTCTCGTCCGTGCTCTAGTAGCTTCCACTACATTCTAAGCGGATATTCTGTGAATTTTAGGCTTAAGAGACTGAATATGTTTAATCCATGATATTTCTTTTCTTACAAATCACTAAACTTAAAACGAAACATTCACTGAAATTAACTTATACATAAGTAAATCTTTGCAATTGACTTAAAATGAAACATTCACTGAAATAAACTTATACAAAAGTAAATCGTTGAAATAGACTTACCTACCACCACTCTCCTCCCCTATCCTTATACATAGACTTAAAATGACAAGTGGTCTTTCTGCAAAAAGTGTTATGGAGAATTTGTGCCAAGTTTAGCGTTCTCCTGAAGCGTAAGACAACTATTGAATCAGTACAGTCGACAGAACACGATTACATACACACGAGAATAAGACGACCAAAAAAAAAAGAAGAAGAAAAAAGACACAGAAGAAGGAGATGATGAAGAAGAAGAAGAAGAAGAAGAAGACATCTATAAGCATTTGTTTTACACCTTATGCCACTCCCTCCCTCCAGCTCTCTTTCTCTCTCTCTTTCGCTGACCCTTTTTGCTAATATCCTCCCTCCTTTCACCACTTTCCTAGCCTCCTTCTTCACTGTTTTTTCTCTATCTCAGTTACCCTCATTGCACCCATTCTGGCTATCCCCCCCCCCCCCCCCCCTTTCCTCCACTGCTCTAGCCTTTTTTCTGTCACCGAGTTAGACTAGCAGCAGCAGCTGCCACAGATACAGTTATTAACTCGATGTTTGATGTTGTCACATGATGATGTTGTTGGTAGCATTTCAGTTCTGTTTGAACCAAGGTCACTTAAAGATATACCCATGCAACAGGGACACTTACGTTGTGAAACACGGTAATTCATTATTGAAGTATTATTTCACCAAAATGTTTTTTGCAGCGTTTTAACTGATGATATTGCAGTTTTTTTTACAATTGTTTCCCTTTTCTGCATATAATTCATGAAATAGTTTTTACCAATTTCCAAGGTTTCAGTGTATTTCATTTATAGTTTCTTAACGTAAAATTTTGGTTAACATGTAATTCTTTTCTCATATGAGTGTTTATTTAGTATACTTATGTTAGTATAGTTTTATTTCATGTATGAGTCTAATGATACGGTCACAATCACACAGCTTTGCACGTTTTACTTTGATTAAATGTAAAAGAAATTTTCATGTGTAATACTCTGTTTTACCAGTATATTCGAGTTTTCATGGATCGAGTGAGCTGCATATGACTGTTATCAGTAAAATAAGCATATAATATGCGTGTAGATTTTAGGAAAGATACTTAAATGGCGAATATACGTCACAAGTTTTTTTTTAAACTGTTTCTAATATCTGGGATATTCGAGTTTTTGCTTTAAAAAACACTGTCAGATGTACACAAATGTATTGTTAATTTTCAGTGTATGCGTGAAGTATATCTTGCATATGGGTGTTGCGAATGATATTTAAACTATGTTGAATCTATACACGTATAGTTCTATACGTAATACTTACAACTAAGTTGTACATAGTTCTCATTGTGTGCCATATACAGAAATGCTCCTTCACAAAATGTGTCAGCATAACCTTTGATGTTCATGTTTCACAATATTTTGTTTTTGTTAGCTCCAAATAATGAACCCATTGTAGTTTTTTTTTTTTTTTTTTTTGACGACACAAACAAATCCTAATCCCTTCTCTGTCAGATTTATTTTGCGCATTTATGTGTATAATTGTGTGCTTTTTTTTTAAAAACTATAAAACAATCAGTACATGTATTTGCCCTTGTTCTCCCTTCCCACCCCCCCCCCCCCCTCCCCCAACTCATATTTGAATCTCACTTGAATTATTTTTCTCATGATATTCTTTAGCATATCACTGCTGTTTGTTAATGGACCAATTGTGTTATGTACATTTTAGTAACTTATTTCGTTTGTTCTCTGGGTAATTTGTTTAACTGAAATGTATCTTTCACATGGTAGTAAAATTTCAACAATGCGAAGAATCTTCCACTTTTGATTTGTTGCACAGGACTATGGTGTGCAGGGTACTCTATGTATAGTTTATTTTCTTGCCCGGGACGTGTGTGTGCGTGTATCTATGTTTGTATGTGTGGGGAAACATTGGGCAGATAGATTGGCTGTTGCTTTTCCTATGGTCTGTGATCTGTTCTATGATAGAGTGAACGCGGTGGAAGCTCTCTAAGAACCTGTGCATAAATCAACAGAACAGACATAGCATCCAAAGCTGGCGAGACTGATTTAGCGAGGAATGGACGGGGAATCTGGAAATACTTAGAGCTGGGGGAAGGACGGACTTTTAGTCAGACTTTTTATCAGCGTGAAAACTCCTCATTGACTACTTATAAAGACAAGGCACTGTGTGAATGCCATGAGTGTGTTCTCGACGTGATTAATTATATCTATAGTCCCTGTATAACGAGAACTCGTAAACAATGTAAATAATAAAATAGGACAGCTAAAGGAAAACCGTACTTAATGAGGTTCTTGTGTTAGGCAAAGATTATTCATGTTACATAGCATATGCAGACATGCACTGGTAACAAAGTGCAGCCATGTGGCTTGCATATTTTTATGTAGTACAGATGTGTGTGTCGGCTCTGTGGCTAAGTCGATGCGAACGCATCGTAATATCGGGATGCTGGGTTCGATACCCCCTGCGGGCCATGTGACTTGCGATGGTTTCGACAGTGGTATCAAGCAAGCCGAACGTCCAGGAGCAATGGCAAACTACTGGACGTAAATTTGCCTAGAAAACAGC